GTTACTTTAAAAGTTAAACATACACTTACCATAAATATGACCCAGAAATTCTGTTCTTACGTATCTACCCAACAAAAGTAAAAACATGTCCACACAAAAAGATTTTTTACTTTTAAAAAGTAAAATGAGGCCAGGCGTGGTGGCTCATGCCTGTAATCCAAGCACTTTGGAGGCCAAGGCGGGCGGCTCACCTGAGGTCGGGAGTTCATGACCAGCCTGACCAACATGGTGAAACCCCGTCTTTATTAAAAATAAATAAATAAAATTAAAAAAAAAGTAAAATGTTTTTACTTTTATACACACAAAGACTTGCGTGTGACTGCTGCCAAAAACTGGAAACAGCTGGGTGCAGTGACTCACGCCTGTAATGCCAGCACTGTAGGAGGCTGAAGTGGGTGGATTGTTTGAGCTCAGGAGTTCAAGACCAGCTTGGGCAACATGGTGAAACCCTATCTCTACAAAAAAATACAAAAACTTAGCCGGGCATGATGGTGTGCGTCTGTGGTCCCAGCTGCTTGGGAAAACTGAGGTGAGAGGATCACTTGAGCCTAGGGGGTGGAGGTTGCAGTAAGCCGAGATTGTGCCATTGTATTTCGGCCTGGGTGATAGAGTGACATCCCGTTTCCAAAAAAAAACCCAAAAAACAAAACTGAAAACAATTCAGATTTTGATCAACTGTCCATCACCTGGTGAATGAATATATAAAAGATAGAACTATATCCACACAGTGGAATGCTACCTAGCAATTTAAAACTTGATACCTGTAATCCCAGCACTTTGGGAGGCCGAAGCGGGTAGATCACCTGAGGTCGGGAGTTTGAGACTAGCCTGGCCAACATGGAGAAACCCCGCCTCTAGTAAAAAATACAAAAATTAGCCGGACATGGTGGCAGATGCCTGTAATCCCAGCTACTCAGGAGACTGAGACAGGAGAATCGCTTGAACCCAGGAGGCGAAGGTTGCGGTGAGCTGATATCGTGCCATTGCACTCTAGCCTGGGCAGCAAGAGTGAAACTCCATCTCCAAAAAAAAAAAAAATCTATTGATACATGAAACCAAATGGATGAACCTAAAAAATATTATGCTAAGTGAAAGAAGTCAGAGACATAAGTCAACATACTGTATTGTTCCATTTATATGAAATTTCTAGTAAAGGAAAAACTATAAAAATATTTTAAAAAGTAATTTTGGTGATCCTCCCAAGCCTAAGAGGCACATTTTATACTTTATCTACTGAGGGCAGCTTTTATTGGTTCTCTTTAGTGCTTTGACAAAAACCAGAAACTTACTAACTTGGAATAGTTGTGCCACTTACAGGTATGTAGTCATTTGCAAAAATATGTGGGAAAATTTAGATTTGTACAGCAGCTAAATTGAGGTTAGAATGATAATCGTTTGCCTTACAAAAGAAGGCATATCCATGTTCTGCATGAGTTTTTATGACCACAAAAAGGGCAAGGTAATCTCTCTCTCCCCATCCCCAATTTTGAGGAAAGGAAACATTTCTAGATACTTTTATTGCGAGCAATCTCCCCCATTGATAGGGACCCCTAATTGATGGGGTCCTCTCTAGGAGATTTTATCCCATTTGTACAGCTTCCTGGTAAAATTAGATCCCTGTAGCTGAGTCTAGATCCCTAAAGCATTACTGTAGGTTGAGGATATCGGGGGTGAACTGGAAATACATAGTCAGCTTACAGTCATTTCTGCTGACTTTTCTTAGTGTCCCCTTACATCATTTAGCATTTGGGATCTGTTTGCCTTAGAATTGAAATGGAGAATTGTCCAATCTCCTTTGCTTTTGGAGCCTTTAGGAGCCTTTAGAGGAGATTGCACTTGCATAACTGGTATTTTGGCCTGGGATGGAGGGGGGCTGGTATATTTTGAAATCATTGTTCTATAACCAGTGTGTCATTGTTACTCAGGCTGTCTAAAGAATCACTTCTGGCTGAGATTTATATCCATTTTATTTTCTCTCTGGCAAAAATTCAAAAGTGGCTCTTCTCCCAGCTTTTTTTTTCTCCCCTCCTCTAGCTTAATTTGTCAGTTCCATTCTTAAACATTCTGCATAGATGCCTGGTTTCCTGAGCCAACTCTTCTCTCTTACTAAATGGGGTGATATTATGTTTTTAAGCTACTATGTAGGTGACAAAGACATTTTACTCTTTGAGTGTTCAGACTATCTAGTCAACACAAGCTTTATAGAAGCAGCTTTCTCTGACCCAGCATTTGGAGATGATTTTGATTTTCAGGAATAAACATTTTTAAAAGGGATTGAGGTTTCAAAATGAGATCCTCCAGCCTGCTTATAAGGTAAATGCATGCCTGACCATTAGATGCTTCCCAGGAGCTTGCCACCCTCCAGTTTTTCCTTCTTCCCTTGAAGACTTCAGATTTTTTTTTTTTTTTTTTTTAAATAGAGAGTCCCACTGTGTTGCCCAGGCTGGTCTCTAACTCCTGGGCTCAAGTGATCCTCCCACTTCAGCCTCCCAAAATGCTGGGATTACAGACGTGAGCCACAGTGCTGGCCCACTTCAGATTTTCTTAAGGCATTGTTTGGAAAGCAAGATTCAAGGAAACTCCTCCTTAGGTTGCATGAGCCGAGATCTCACCACTGCACTGCAGCCTGGGCCTCAGAGTGAGACTCTGTCTCAAAAAAAGGAAACTCCTCCTTGTTACCATGGTTTTTTTGGTGCTTGAGTAAGCGTTGCTTGTTGCTGCTTAAAATACATCAGCGGCAGCTCTCTTTCCATAGAAACTACATAAAAGCTACAAGCCTTTCTTGCTACAGTTGGGATTGCCACTGCTTGGAATGCTGTCAGCCTGTGCGTTTATTTGTCTGTACAGTTATAGCCTGGTGGGGCCAGAATGGCAGCCAGGCCTGAAAGATTATTTATATATTGCTGCTTATCTCTCCATGTCCTAGAGATCCTGTGAAAAGGAGCTCTGGCTTAAGATCACTGCAGAGTTTTGCCATTCTTCCCTCTCTTACCCAGGGAGGCTGAAATGACAGCATGAGCTGGCCTTCTGTGCTCACACCCGCTCCTCCTTCCTGAGACAGTCTTTGAAACTCAGGCAAGGACAAGAATACCCAGTGCCACATGGCAATTGAAGGTCTCCTTTTCTTTATAGTCAAACCTAAGCCTTAACAAAGCACTTTTATCAACAAAGAATTAGACACTTGGTTTACTTCTCCTGCTATAAAACTATGCCTGATTTATGGTTTGATGGATCAGTGTAAAAGCAGAATATAAATGTTTGAAGATTCCAAGCATCAAGGTACTTTTGGAACATCCTGTAGGTATAGTTCCCCCCCCTCCTTTTGTTTTTGAGACAGAGTCTCGCTCTGTTGCCCTTGATGGAGTGCAATCTCAGTTAGTGTGATCTCAGCTCACTGCAACCTCCGCCTCCTGGGTTCAAGCCATTCTCCTGTCTCAGCCTCCTGAGTAGCTGGGATTACAGACGTGTGTCACCACACCCAGCTAATTTTTGTATTTTTAGTAGAGACAGGGTTTCACCTGTTGGCCAGGGTGGTGTTGAACTCCTGGCCTCAAGTGATCTGTTCACCTCAGCTTCCCAAAGTGCTGGGGTTAAAGATGTGAGCCACTGCGCCTGGCCAGTCCCTCCTTTTATTTAAGGAATTGATGTCTGGGGACAAACTGTGTGTTCTCGTGTGTGTTTGCGCATGTGCTGCAGCCTTGTTACATTCAGCTGTTTATGTTCATGGGTCTGAAAGTCTCTGGATTACTTGTTGGACTTTTTCACATGCACTGTCTGCCTTTAATTTGTTTTAACAAACCTCGTCTAGCACATTTGTTTTGTCTTACACTTAAACAAATTTGTACCTCTGGAGTCTCTAGCAACCAGTAGTGTGGGACAGGGATCAGAAATTGTGCTGGAGAGGTGATAGGGATTGACAGGGTGGAATTTACTACATTGTAGTAGACTACCAGATTTTACTAGATTTTCTTTTGATCAGTTTGTGAATTGTTCCACCAGGGGGCAGTGAAGGAACAGACATGACATAGAATTCAGACCCTTTTTCTCAAAAGCAGGACAGGGTTGCCTTTAGCTGAAGTAAAGGTGGACAGTGTCTATGGTTAGATTTACTTGAGTCCTGGCTCCCCTTGTGAGCACAGATAATGGTGCTGGAAAGAGTCTTTCAAGCCTCAAATTGTGGTCTGTGAAGGTGTGGTATGTATTAATTTTTAAACTGGAGGCTCTAGCACAGCAGCTAATAAAAATTCTTAATTTTCTCCTTGAAACGGAAAGAGAGTGTGGGTGTATTTATTTTTTTTCAAGACAAAGTCTGACTTCTTTGCCCAGGCTAAAGTACAGTAGCATGATCTCAGCTCACTGCAACGTCTGCCTGCCGGGTTCAAGTGATTCTGCTGCCTTAGCCTCTTGAGTAGCTGGAATTAAAGGTGCCTACCACCATGCCCAGCTAATTTTTTTTTGTATTTATAGTAGAGACAGGGTTTCACCATCTTGGCCACAGTGGTCTTAAACTCCTGACCTCGTGATTCACCCACCTTAGCCTCCCGAAGTGCTGGGATTACAGGCATGAGCCACTGTGCCCAGCCGGAAATATATATATTTTTACATCTCTGACCATTATTTGCCACCACATAGTCCCCCAGCCACACGGTATATATTAAAGTGCTCTGTTTTCTTCCTAGCGCTTATCGCCGTCTGAAATTACCTTGTTTTCAGTTGTTTATAGTCTGTCTCCCCCACCCACTCAGGCTGTATCTAGCCTACATTCACTGTGGTAGGTATGCAGTATGTATTAGAAGGAAGGAAGGAACGTTTTCTTGGAATAGCAGTAACTGTTCAGGTATGTTGTGGATTTTTAAAATTTGTTTCACTTTTCATTTCTGAGAAAACAGAATCTGTCCAGATCAGTCTTTCCTGGCCTCCTTTCCTCAGCTTAGGTCCTGACTGTTGGGAAGAATGAAGATGAATCCCATTCTGAGTCTCTTTCCTCTCTTCCACCCTAGCTTGCCAGCAAAGCACGGACGGAGAAGGAGGAGAAGCTGAGTCAGGCCTATGCAATCAGTGCTGGTGTCTCTCTAGAGGGCCAGCAGCTCTTCCAGACCATTCACAAGACGTGAGTTGGGGGATTGGAGAGGTCCTTTGTCCTGGGGTAATGCAGTGGCAGGCTTTGGGTGGTTGTCTTCCTAAAAGTCTGCTGGGGAAGCTGGGTAGGGTATTGGCAATACGCCAGCATCCAGAGATACAGGTGCTGTTGCCCGCTTTCCACACAGAAGAATAGTGTAATCATGGACAAGTTGTCTTCTCTGGTCTTCAGTTTCTTGTCTGTAAAACTTAGTTTTGGATTAGATCATCCCTAAGAATCCCTTTTAGACCTAGTAGTCCATAATTTAGAACTAGTGAATTTCTTTTTCTTTGATTTTGTTGTTTTGTGTCTTTCTCTAAAAGCTGATGCAGTTTTTATTAAGGATAAGTTATATCTAATCACTTTTCCCAACGTAGATTGGGATGAACACAAGGAATTAGAGTAGGCCACCTTCTTATCACCTCTTAAAAGACATTTTGTCACAGCAGAAGTCATTTGACTCTCCACTAGCTTCCCTAACTGCTGAAAAACTGGAACATTTGACACCCCCCTCCATCCCCCCCCCCCACTGCCTTCTGTTACCCTATTTAACCACCCTGGGTCTGGTGCACAGATGACAGCTGGCATCAGAGCTGTTTGAGGCCATAGTGTGAGTATCTGAACATTTACAGGTATGTGAAGGAACTCTCAGTCGCATCAGCTGCCCTGGGGCTTCCCAAGTGTGAACTGGAATGGGTTTTCCCAGTCTGGCAGGTGCCCAACTGTCTGATAATTGAGAGGAGCCAGTCTGAGAAGCCTCTCCCATTGTGGGTGATAAGGGTCAGAGTATAGATAATAAGATGGGGAGTTTGTTTTCTTTTTTTTTTTTTCTTTTTGAGATGGAGTCTTGCTCTGTCGCCAGGCTGGAGTGCAGGGGTGCGATACTGGCTCACTGCAGCCTCTGCCTTCTGGGTTCAAGCGATTCTCCTGCCTCAGTCTCCTGAATAGCTAGGACTACAGGCATGCGCCACCACACCCAGCTAATTTTTGTATTTTTAGTAGAGACGGGGTTTTGCTATGTTGGCCAGGATGGTTGTCTTCATCTCCTTTTTTTTTTTTTTGAGACGGAGTTTCACTCATGTTACCCAGGCTGGAGTGCAATGGCGCGATCTCGGCTCACCGCAACCTCCGCCTCCTGGGCTCAGGCAATTCTCCTGCCTCAGCCTCCTGA